TACCCCCACCCCAGAAAACAAGAGCTTTCCCTTCTCACAATGGCCTTCACTCCATCCATCCAATGACAAGGCAGCCTATTACAGAAATAAACTACTGCCCCATAGCCTCCACCCATACCCCAATTTTCAACGAGTCCCTGGGCAGCGCTCCCTTCCTAGGTCTGCTCTTTCTTATTACCATACACCTGTCTTTGTATTTCACTGCTGTGACTTTCCTGGGTACTGGGGGCGGTACAGGATAAGGCATAGCAAATACCAAAACTACTAGCCAAACATTTTTCATCTTAAAATGCTTCTGCTGCATGTGTGTTCCTCTGAGATTTTTATTTTGTTCCATGAAACCAAGCACCCAACCACTGTCATATTTAAAAAAGAAAAAAGAAAGAAAGGAAAGAAATCACAGCATTACCCTCTCAAAGGCAAAAGAATATCCTAGTAAGCTGAGCTGAAGTTAGACATCATGCAGTAAATTGGACAGCAGAATGACTTCGGGTGCTCATTTTGCAGTAAATCCACATCTTTGTGTGTGCTGTATGTCTGGTACAGATATGGGAATCTCTGCCATCATCTTTTCTCTGCTGAGCTCTGGTCTGGCTCCTAACACACCTCCTTGGCTTCTTTCTTGCTCGACTTTCCATTTTTTACCTGCAACCGAAGTCATCTGTAAAAACTGAAAACTGGCCCTGTCACTTGCTCTTGATGGGTGGTTCCTCATGACTCAACGGATTAAGAGCAAGACCGTTCAGGGGCTGGGGATGTGGTTCAAGTGGTAATGTGCTCACCTAGCATGCATGAGGCACTGGGTTCCATTCTCAGCAGCACATAAACAACAACAACAACAACAAAAATAAATAAATAAAGATATTGTGTCCACCTAGAACTAAAAAATAAATATTATAAAAAAGAGCAAGATCTTTCCTCAAACATAAACCAGGTGTGGTCTGTCTTGCCAGTCTCCTGGCCTTATTCTACCGAGTTGCTGTTCTGGTCACTTTTAGATCCTTAAATAGACTCCTTTCTTTGTTTGTTGGGGCCTTTTTGCAGTATGTTTCCTCTGATTAGAATATGCTTTTCCACATCTTTTGCCTGGTTGTCTTCTGCCATCTTCTTGGTGTTGATGTAAATATCCCATCCCTGAAACAGAATTGGTTAAATAAATACATATGTGGTTTCTGTTATCATAGATTTTTTGCAAGTTTGTCTTAGAGATGAGAGACTTATCCTAGGGATTTGGTGTCACCAAGACTTATCTTAGAAAATGATACACATAAACTGTTTTTATAGAATTAAAAATTACCCCACAAATTTCAGACCCTGAATTTTATTTAGGAAACTTAGATGTAAAATATGGTTAAGGTATCATAAACATATAAAATATTTCACTTAAATAATAGCTCACAGTCTACTAGAGCTGGAGTTCTAGGCCTTAAAGAATGTCAGTCTTGTTGGGGAACAAGACGAAGCACCAGAATGAGTAATAAGTGGTTGCTGAGTAGTGCAGACTGGGAAGGGAGGGACAACGTGCTTCCCCTTTTGGGGAAAGAGATATGGCACATGGTGGGGGAGGACCTGTCATGTTTCCTGCTAAGCTTCCACTAACAGGTCTTTAGCCACAGGGTTACAAAGCAGAGTGTGCATTTTTGCAACTGAGAATCTAGACACATGTGGCCTTTGCCCTCAGGCAGTGACAGTGCCAGCATCTGGATGTCTACATAGATCCCAGTCTGCCCCTGAGAACTGTCATGSGAGCTGACTGCTCAGACAGCCTCTAGCCAGGGAGTTTTCACCCACATAATATGCAGGCTACACTTTCCAAAGAGACAGGCTTGATAAAATATTTTAATGCAGAAACTGACCACAGTGAATACATAATAGAGTCCATGTGATGTTTCTGTACTGCTGTTTCCAATTCATTGTTCTGTACCTCTGTACTTGTTGTGCTATTTATGTGCAGATTGCTAAGAAAACTCAAAAGTAGCATTGTCAATATTAGTCACATCGAGCCCAGTTATTTTATTTTATTTTTTTTAAAGAGAGAGTGAGAGAGGGGAGAGAGAGAGAGAATTTTTAATATTTATTTTTTAGTTCTCGGCGGACACAACATCTTTGTTGGTATGTGGTGCTGAGGATCGAACCCGGGCCACACGCATGCCAGGCGAGCGCGCTACCGCTTGAGCCACATCCCCAGCCCTCGAGCCCAGTTATTGATAGTCAATGACAGCTATTTTAAGGATCATTTTCCAACTGCAGAATAGAGTGAAATTTCCAACAGTTCATCATTTAAAATCAGTTAATTGTTCTGAGAACTGAGAAACCGGTAGTTTATTTATAGAGATCTCCATCAAACCATTTTAATTCTTGCAGTTTCAGAATTCTGCACACAGTGAAATAATTTTCATTGTAGCCTGGATGAAGTTATTTCCAAGGGTGTGGTAAACAAAGGATTTTTCTAAAACATAGAAAAATGATAAGTAAAACAAAGATCTTGGAATGAGTATCTCCAAAATTTCTTGCCATCAAAGTTACATTACCTTAAATAATGATTTTTCTAAATTTATGTGAGCCACCATTGTTACCTGGAATCTTCACTTTCATTGTGTTTTCCAAAACTCCTCATGAGAACACATTTATTTTTCTACTTTAGATTTCTCACAAAGAGAATCTGAACTGTTGGTTCATAGGACATCAGGTTCAATCCCAGTTCTGTCACTTACCACCTATGTGAACTTAGCCAATCTATTGATTTTTCTGAACCTGAATTTATTCTTTATAAAATGGGGGTTTTAATTTTTAATAGTATGTCCTTTCTAAGGTGAAGGACCAAGCYCTGTGCCTGATGAAGTGAATGTGACCAAGACTCAAGTGTGGGTCATCTGACACCAGAGTAAGCACTGTGTGATGTGYAGCAAAGCCTATCAGAGCTGGGGGAGGCCTTATTTAGGCTGCAAAAGAATGTGTGAAGGGTTTGCAGCAGCAGGGTAAGAAAGCGTTGGGCATGCACCATCTGGCAGCAGGCAGAAAAGCCAAAATGACAGCTTGAGGCATGGTCCTAGTATCCAGGTTGCCGCCACCAAAGGCCAAGCTGCAGCTGATGACAAGCCTGAGTTTTGCAATGCTCCTGGGCATGATGCCTACTCTTTCTCTCATCCTGCAGCCAAAAGTCCTAGGTGCCCCCCAGAGGGGAGGAAGCACTACCCACAGGTGGGAGCAGGTGGAGGCCTATCATCTTGTCCCTGTGAGCCTTGGCAGCATACAGCTTTGCCCAATGGGTTAGAAGACAACCCCTCTGGTCACCCATCACTCATGCAGAAGCATTTTAGGGCTTCAAAGGTCAAGGAGTGCTGTCCAATAGGCACTCTACAACTTCTTTGGGAGTGGGTCTGCAGGTATATAGGCTCCATTGGCCATGTGCATTCTGYCTGCTGCAGTTCCCCTCACAAACTGGGAGCTGGGGCAAATGAATGCAGAGCCACCCCTGGAGCTGTCCTCATGGAAAGTCAAAGAAGCCAGTCACAAGCTTTCTCTTCCAGCATCTCTTTGGCCAGACTGACAGTGGACAACCCTCAGGTCACTCACCACCAAGGAAAGTGGATAAGGGGGCAGTGGTAGGGAGAGTGTGTTTCAGTGTTTCAGGTGAAAGMAGAAGCCATGATGGTGTGGGAGACAAGAACTCAGGAGGTTCTCAGATTGTGCTCTTTGGTTTTGCACCCCACTTGCTGGAGCTTGGGGAGTCTTCAAACTTACCCCCAAGAGCAGCATGTGAAAACTAGATCCTTGTTCCTCTCCCACAAGCCAGCTCCTGGCACAGGTCCCTTTACCAACCTCACTCTGTTCCTTCCCTACCTCCTTCCTTGACTTTCCCCACCTTGTTCCATCCCATTGTCTGGGCATGAATTCGGGCCCTCAGTATTCATGACTTCCTGCCAGATTCTCTTTCTCCATGTGGTTGCTGAATCCTGGTGTTTCTTTCTTTGGAAGACCTAATAACTTCACCCTCACAATGATATCTACTATAGTCCCCATCCTCAGCTCACTTGAACTTTTTCTTGACAGTCATCTCTCCTCATTTATTGTATCCTCCGTCCAGATCCACCCACTCATTAGAAGATCATTGTGGCACTTCATTGACCTCAGGATAAGGCCAGATACCCCAGCTGTGCCAGGACAAGCAAGTCTTGAGCACTCTTGCTACCTTACCCCACTTCCACCCCCAGGGCAGACCCCAGTGCCTTTCCCATGGAACTCAGCCTGGACATGAGAAACCTTCTCTGGATGACACTACAGRCACCAATATCTGTCAGTAAGTGTGCATAAAAGGTGATACTGCCTATCATACTCTGTGTTTCCCAATTGACCTTCACCAAGTTCCACACTGCCTCCTGCTGTGAGGTTCTCTCTCCCCTCTGTCTTAGAGCTCTGCAGGCTGTGTCTTGCCCCATGACCTCTGTGTAGATTGAGTCTTGCCTCCACTGAAAGGTTTCTGGTCCTGGAGGGGTAGCTGTCTCAGCCCTGGGAGGCAGGCCGGTRCATCTCTCTTAGTATGATGAAGGAGGCAGCTTACTTGATTGGATCCTCTGCTCCATCCACTCTGAAAGGCAGGGATCTGGTGAGGGTGAACTATTGTTGATAATTCAAGCCTAGAAATGGGAGTCTAAATTGACCAGATGAGCTGAAAAGGTGTTTAAGGGAGTTGAGGGCTCACGAATGCAGCATGCACCAGGTCACAGGTCAGCAGCTGTCATTTTGACTCCTACAGTGTGCCTTTAGGCATGTGACTTAACTGCTCAGGGCATCAGTTGTCTATGAAAACAAGAGTGGTGCATGAGGATGAGGCTGTTCCATTCCCCTCTCCCCCACCACCATGGAGGACCCACTGGGACCCAGGCCTCTGCTGTTGAGCAAGTCATGTGACAGGGGTGGGCAGAGGTCTTTGATACCTTCCAGTCTCTGATACTGAGTACCACCTGCTTTCCTCCACAGTCGCCGGGGTCACTGGAAGCATGGAGCTGAAGAGGGGAAAGACCTTCATCAAATCCAGCTTGCAGATTTCCCATGAGAAACCCCCAGACCCTGCAGCCACTGCTGTAGCCAGGGAGGATGCAGGTCCCTGGTCAGTCTCGTTGGGAGGGCAGCAGAAACCGCATGGAGAGAAGGGTTCTGAAGCCAGCTCCAGCATCCAAGGGTATGATCGGTGCCTCAACAAAGGGGCACAGACTGACCCTGAAGGAGGTCAAGCCACCTTCAAATTGGTACGGAAGAGCAAGACTCATGAGAGTGTTCCAGGGGCCAGCAAGRCAGCAACCACCCCAGGACAGCTGGTGGGTAGCGCAAGCTTCCCAGGGCCCTCTGGCAGCCAGCGCATGATTGACTACCGCCACTTTGTGCCCCAGATGCCCTTTGTGCCAGCTGTGGCCAAGAGTATCCCAAGGAAGAGGATTTCCCTGAAACGGCCCAAGAAGTGCTTCCGGAACCTATTCCACATCCGCAGAAACAAGACAGAGAACTTGGCCTCACTGGCAGCCAAAGGGAAGAGCCTGTCCTCCCCGGGGGACCCATCRGATGCTGCAAGGCAGAGAGGCAAAACCTTCTTTTCCCAGGGCGAGGGGCTGGGGCTGGACGACCTGTGCCAGGACCTGTCTGACAGTGAGTTCCTGCCTGACTCACCCTTCGACCTCTGCAGTGCCCTGTGCGAGGATGTAGCCTCCCTGAAGAGCTTTGACTCACTCACAGGCTGYGGGGAGATCTTTGCAGATGAGAGCTCGTTGCCACCCCTGGAGCTGAGTGAAGGCCCCGAGAGCCCAGGTCGGGTGTCCCAAGCCTTGGAAAGCAAGGATCCCAGGGGCCCTTCCCAAGACAGTGTGGAACAGCTGGCATCACCTGCCCAGAATGAGGTGTTGGATTTCACCAAGTTCTGGGACAGTGTGAATCGCTCTGTGAGGCAGCAGCAGCGTGCCCTGCTAGGCCCGTGGCTGGTGGGTCCTCAGGGGACAAACACAGACCAACCCAGGCTGGATGTAACTGGGTTGGCAGAGTTGCCCCTGTTTCCCTGCAGGGGCCCCCCAAGTGGCTCCAAAGCCAGCTCTGTAGACACAGGCACCCCCAAAAGTGAGCAGCCAGAATCTGTGTCTACGAGTGATGAGGGTTATTATGACTCCTTCTCCCCCGGCCTTGAGGAGGATAAGAAAGAGGCCCCAAGCCCAGGAACACCTGCAGCTGCCTTYCCTAGGGACAGTTACAGTGGGGATGCCCTTTATGAGCTCTTCTATGACCCCAGTGAGGCCCCTGTCGGCCCAAGCCTGGACGATGACTTGTGTGTGTCTGAGAGTCTGTCGGGACCAGCCTTGGGGACACCACTGTCCATGTGTAGCTTCCATGTGGGGGCTGAGGAGAACCTGGCCCCAGCACCAGGCCCTGACTTGCTTAGCCAGGGCTTCCTGCAAAGCTCTTGGAAGGGCAAGGAGTGCCTGCTAAAGCTCTGTGACACAGAGCTYGCTATCACCATGGGCATTGTCAACTGGCTTCGCCGAGCTCCACCTGCCCCAGCCCCTGCCCCTGGAGAGCCTGCAACCTCATCTGGTCCACAGAGGGCCCCTAGAGGACCGGCAGAGAAGCTAGAGGGCAGCGGGGAACAGGCCTCCGATGCAGGCAGGGCCACAGTGTGCTCAGCACCTAGCAGACAGCAGCTGTGGGCTCACTCAGGCACTAAAGGCCTGCTTRTCAAAGAGAGTAGTGTCCCAGGAGAGTCTGTAAGGGGGACTGGCACCCCCTCCAAGAACTCCTCTCTAGAGGAAGAGACACAAGGCCACCCTAATGGTTTGATCTCCTCTGTGGGGTCTTCAGCCTCTACAAGAGACATTTCCAGTAAAGGCAAGGCTCCCAACTCCACGGCCTGGCCTGGCTCACAGAAGGAACCCAGGCCACCWGAGAACCTGAGGAATTCTCAAGGGCCATGGAGGCCAGGTCCTGGGGGAAGTGCTCTGGATGTAGGGCCCACCTTGGCTGGCTATGTGGCCCRCATGGCAGCCTTGCAGATCCACCCAGACAGCCAGCCTCCAAGGCAGGACATAGGCAGTGGACCCTTCAGGCAGTCTCCAGCCTGGGGCCCTGACCTTCTGCAGCAGAAACAGACCAGCAGTTCTCCCAATGGGGTAGCTGTCTGTGGCCTTCCCATCCAGAACAGCCCACAGGACCAGAGGTGTCCAGGCCTCATCCTGAACCTGAGCCAGCTCAAATTGGAACCCACCAGACTGGGTGCCCAGACCTGTGCCTCCGTGGAGGGCCAGTCACTGCAGCTCAGTCCCAGGGCTGTGGCACAGGCAGGAGGACACAGGRGTCAGCTGGACTCTGAATCTCCTTCAGGCCCTACTGCCGGGCGGAACCCCCGGGGATATCCCCCAGAAATCCTGGGCCTCACTTTGAACAGTCAGCGGTAGGTGGGCTCCTCTGCAARTGTCCTCACATGCCGCCACGGTCTCCTGACCCAAGAAGGCCTCCCTTGAGGTTGGTTGGAAGTTGGGGCTTCCAGGCAAACCATGACGGAGCCCCATCTGTAAAACAAGCTCACCCTCCTCAGGAGCTGCATCTTCACAGTCATATTCAGGAGAACCAAGGAAACCAAATTTCCACCTTTTGTCTGAAATTGGAGGACTGTGTTGGGGGGAGGGGGCAGGACTCAATCAAATGGGGGGAGGGGTGGATTTTCATGCGGAGGCATTCATGCCTGAATCCAAAGTCAAGGACAATTCAAAACTGTGAACACCTAGCTGCTCCTCATGCAGTATGTCAGAGAGGAGTTCAGACTTGGGACCAATGGGGGAAAAAAAAAATGGTCCACACTGTAAAATGAGAGGAGGCTAAGAGAGCCTATGTTTCTGCATGGGTATGTGAGAAGGGTGAGGTTCAAGGCCTGGAGCAGGAAACAGATGGGGGTGAGTGAGCATCAAAAGGCTTGTGCTAGGGACTATGAAGCCAAACCAGTCCCATCCCAGCAAGAGCCCTGAATCAGCCAAGGTCCTGCATTATTATGCAACACTRCCAGGGCTAGCCAAAACTTGCCAACCCTTGCTGATGGATATTACTGGATTTTCTGTGACAAATTAACCTGTGTGAGTAATGATTTCCTTCAACTTGCACTCTCCAAGCCATGGAGAGCCAAATGCTCTTTGAGAAGAAGCCCATTTTTTTTCTTCCCAAATCTGCAATTCTACATTTTAGTGGAAAAGGCCTTTCTCTCTGCCCCCTCCACACTCTCAGCATCCCCATTCCCTCTTTCAGTGGGTTGTGCCCCCACTCCAAAGGCCACAGCACAAAAACATTCAGAACCATGAAGGGAGAAGACAGCTGGTGTCCCCAGGAAGGGCAATTGTCCGTTCTGGCCCAGTGTCAGGGAAGCAGGTGCAAGGACAGACGACCCACTTGCTTTCTACAGGATTAACTTTTATCTCAGCCAAAACACTGCAGTCAGAGGCAAAGGATGGGGCACCACAGGCAGCTGTGAAATTTGTTTCCAGGGGAAAGTGGGTAGATCAGATTGTAGACAAACTGTAAGTGAAATCACCTTTCATGAAGAGCTTCCATGGGTAGGGAAGAGAGATGCACCAGTCCCAACTRTGGGAAGAAGACAGAGGAGGAATTTCATACAAAGACTGCAGTCCCATAAGGTAGAACAGAGATGGTGCCTCTCCTGAATGCCTGACATTTGATTTCAGTCTAGAATTTCTGTGGCCTTCATTCAGCAGCTCGCTGAGACATGCTGTGTGCAGGATGTAGGCTGGATACTGCAGGTTTAAAAAGGTACAGAACTGCTCTTGATTGGACCCATCCAGATCTGGGACAAGGGGGAGGTTTAAGGCCACCTCTCCTGCACAGCCACATCTAAATCGTCCTTCCAGGCCCCACACACATGATCACAACGTTAATGAGCCTGGCTGTGAGCAAGTTTATGTGGGGATCAGTCTGCCCGAACCCTGCGTTATCCTAAAAATGCAATTCTTATCCTTTTCAGATCTCGACACAGATGCAGAGTCCCGTGTGACTTGCCCATTGACACGTAACAGATAGTGTGTGGGGTTGGTCAGGTTACCATGCCACTCCTGGTTCCAAAAGCCCTGCTCTTTGGCAGGCTCTGGAATCTCTTGCTGAATTCTCACAGCAAAAGCCCACCTCAGAGCCTTCCCCCATCTTTCCTCCAGGCCGTTGATGTCTGGGCACCCAAGGGTGCCAGCCACATGTCTTTCTGGAAGCAGGCTGAGACCCCAGGGAGAGTCCACCCTCCCTCAATCATAGCCTTTGTATYGTATCTGGCTTTGTATTGTATCTGACAGAGTGAGTGCTCAGTAAATATGTGTTGAAAGAATGAAGCGTCAAAATGTTGAATATGCTTTTCTAATTTCTTGTTGACCATGATCMGTGTAGGGAGAGAAACAGAGTAAGTTTAAACATGATTTTGCTTTAGAGCCAAATGCCTTTCTCATGGCAGAGGATAGTGATTCCTCATTAGGACTTGAGTCATAGTCACTTGTGGTGACTGGGAAGAACCTAAGAGCATTTGAAAGGACAGGAACCAAGGCCATTCAGCCCAGAAAGGGGTCCTAGAATTAGCTGGGATGGGGACCAATGGGCACCCAAGGACCCAAAGCCATGGCAAGGTTTGGTCTGCAGTGACCCAGCAGCAGAGCTAAGGAAACACAGAACCAGGGTCATGCCTACCTGGGAGGAACCAAAAGGCCCCGGTAGCTCTGCACCTGGGAAGGGGTTTAAACAACCCCAGCTCTCCAGAGATTCTTATTCAGCCATCTCAGGCAGGGGTCCCCAAAGTGGCCCGCGAAGCAACTTGCTGGGAGGATGGAAGAGGTTAGTATGATCTCACTTTCAGGTGATTTATCTCCCCACACCCCACTCAGGCTGCCCTCCCCGGTAAGAGAAGTCCAKGAAGGGCCAGCCTAGCCAGACTCCACAGGCCTTAGGGTGACCCATTGAGAAGAAAGAGGGACTTTGGAGTCAGCTAAGGTGTCTGATCTTGTGCTGGGAATGGAAGAGGCCTGGGTGGGCATTTTCAGAACTCTCTGGTCATTTCTTTCATTCTTTCTTTTTTTCTCCTC